GAATTATGGCATATTTACTTAAAGGAGATAAGGAAAGAAAGCTGATTAAGGGTAGCTTTAACAAGTGAAAAGAGTTAAAATTAATATGTATAAACAAGTCTGTTTTTAAGAGTCTTAGCACCAAACTTGAAGAAATAGAGTGGCAAAGAAAGGTTTATTTAATCTCATTGTTTTTATTTATTTTTTAAATAAAGGAACAATGATATGTAAATAGGCCAATGGAATCACTGAGCATAAAGGTGTAACTTACTTGGGGAAGAGGTGAGGTTTTTCTATAATGCCCTTGACTATTTGAGAATTTGATAATAAGAGAGAAAACAGAGTGTTTGGATTCAGAGGCTGATAAGTGGTAGATATGTTGATCTATTCTAATTGGTTTAATTTCCATATAGTCACTATAGTTATCTGCCATGGATGACAATGGAGAATGGGGAAGAGATGATTTCAGAAGAATGGTGTGAAGTGGCTGTCAAAGTGAGAAAGAGATTGTATGGGTATATTGAATAATCTCTAGGCAGAATTTTATATGCCTAGTTAAAATTCACTACATTACATAAGCCATGTGAAGAGACAGATCTTATGTATATTCAAGCATTTACACATAGATATTTTAGTCCATAGTAGGCTTGATATATGCTTGGAATTTAATGTGCCTTCCAAAAGAGCTAACTTTATCTTAAGCTGCCAACATTAGTTATCCAGAATAGGAATGGTGATCTAGTTCATTCAGCAACATACTTTAGAACAATGAGAGCTTCAAAGGGAGGCAAAGAAATAGCAGCATGCATGTGGGTAAATGGAAGGCTAGGTGGTTAAGGGTGAAAATAATGAAAAACATTTGAAATTGAAAAGTGATACATACATTGGGATTGGGGTTGTGGCTCAGTGGTAAAACACTTGTCTAGCACGTGTGAGGTACTGGGTTCAATTCTCAGCACCATGTATAATTAAACAAATGAAATAAAGGTCCACCAACATAAAAAAATATGTATTTTAAAGAAAAGTGATACATTGTTTTCTAAAAAGTCCAAAGTCTGTAAAATTTCAGAGAATGACAGAATATGAGCTGTAAAGTACAATAGAAATTATTTACTGAAAACTTCTAATCAAAGCACGGAGCTAAGACTCTGGAAGGAAGGTACTCATAACTCCAGTCCCTGGTGCATAACCTATAATTGAGTGGGACTGCTTCTGATTTTCCATAATCTGTTCTCCATGGGTTGTATTGTGTATTTTCACGTAAAAGAATAAAGTAAAAGTCCAGAAACAGTCTTTAATTGTCTGTGTTCTCAGTTAATTTTTTTTTCTTATTTAATAATGGGATAATACAAAATTTTTTTACCTACCTTTTTGATATTCTGTGAGAACATTGTGGTGGTAAAAGATTATAATAAACCTTTCTAAAGAAAATATTACATGTTTATTCATTCTATACTATTTAATTTCTAGTTTAATTTTTAGTTCAAGATTTACTGTTTAATTTTTAGTTTAAGATTTAAGCTTCATGTAAAATAATAATCATTTTTTAAAATATAAGTAGAAACTTACAGCCTCAGAATTTTATTGGATAAAGTCTTACAACTACTAACAATATGAAAAACATATAGGAAGTTCCCCAAATCTCTTGTTTAGAAAGACCTTACTATTTTGTTTTCCATGAATGTTTCATCACATCTAAAATGCAAACTTAGATCTTTTTCTAAAAAATGCAAACTCTATTTTTCCCCCATACTGAATTTAAGACACTAATAACTCAAATTTAACTTTTTTTTTTTTAACATAGTGACCTAAAAATAAGGTTTATAAAAAGGTTAACATGTAACAACACAATTGTTGGCATTCTAGAAATCACATTAGTGCATGGGACCTCCAGAAAGCAGGCTCTTTCTTTCATGATTTCCTGTTATCCATAGTTTACTAAAGAGTAAGAAAGTCCTTCTAAATATTTTGATTTACACTGATCTAGATTTATGTTCCTGAATCAGGTGTTTTGAACCACTGACATAGCAAACAGCCTATCCAAATTCTGCTAACATCATTTTAGCCTCAATTTCATTGTCAAATGGTGCATAAGCTTCTCTGTAGTATACAGGTAGAAAGCTGATATATTTTGTGTCTATTTAATTTCAGTAGAATGTATATAATCTGGCTAATAGATAGCATGGTAAAAAAATCAGCTATAGGACAATAAAAATGTGTCCTTATTCTGGAAAAGAATGAAACAATACTTAAAAATCTTTCATTTTGGTTTATATTTGTCTTTGCAGTAATGCAAAGGCAGCAAATGGGGTAATCCCAGTTGGTCATAATCTCTAAAAAAGAAGGCATCCTCCCACATAAGGAAAAATATCATCATGTCTCAAGAGTTCTATTTAATCTTTATTGCCCAGCCCTTTAATAAAACTCCTTCCTTGTTCTGTTGAAATGTGCTGAATGAGTCAGAGAGATAAACCAAAAATTCTTGCAATGTAGCAAAAGTGAGAACTGCATTTCTCCATAAATTAGGTACAGTTCACAGGAGAAAATTGTCTTCCATCATGTAATTATTTTCTCCAAAGCAAAGTCTTGTGCTAGTGATATATCTCATTTTTTTTTTTTTTGGAGTTCAACACTTCATAATTATTTATATAAATAAAATCATCAACTGGGGTAGTAAGTGTATTTATCTATCTGTTTAGTATCCAGTGGGGCAATTTTAGCATTATGGCCTGGAATTAAAACATCAGCAAGAATAAAAAATGACATGATGTGCTTAATCAAAGATCTAAATCTGTTTAATGTACTTTGTGTTGTGAAATAGATTTGTTTTCTGTATGTAGAATGGAACAAGTCTCAGCTGGATTTTAATTGTACTTTGTGAAGAGGAAGTTGATACTTTCACACATGGGAAAACAGAAAAAAAAGAAAAACACAGAATTTAGAAACTGTGATTTCTTTCAAATCTGCTGTTGTTTATTAGCTTACAGAAATTTCCTACACCTTGAAACTTGTTAGTACATGTGATTAAGAGATAAAATACCTGACTTACAGTGTTTTATGAACAACACTTAGCAAATTAGAGAATTCCACTATAATATGAAGGCTGTCTGGTGTTAATAAAATTAATTTAAAACTTGGGACAGAGTTCTAGTTGTTTTTGGTAACTCTTTGTATGTATTATCCGAATTGCTGAACCAGCATAAAAAAGTGTATATTATGCACAAGTATATGTGATTTTTCATAATTTTAAAAGTATCAAACATTGCTTGAATGTAACAAAAAAGGTACACACTTTATCACATGGGGCATTTTTACCAAATGCTAATATGCTGTGCAGTTTGCTTCACTGCATTCTTTTCTGTCATGTGCTTACCAGCACCAAAGTTATCTGTATATTTGTTTTTATATACATCCACCATTCCTTATATCTGCAGGCATACATACAAGTGCCTTCTAGACATAACCCACAATTTTTAGAACTACAAAAATTTAGGTTGAAGATACCACTTTTATCCTTACATATGTCAGTGAATTTTTTCAAAATACAACTGTTATTCTACATAAATGCCATGAAATTACAAAAATCAGGAACTATAAGATTATAAAGTCATAATCAATATTGAAATTTTATAATGTTCTTTTTAATTTATTTATTTTAGTTGTATACGGACTCAATGCCTTTATTTATTTTTATGTGGTGCTAGGATTGAACCCAGTGCCTCACACTTGCAAGGCAAGTGCTCTACCACTGAGGCAATAATCTCCAGTTCTCAATAATGTTCTTTATAGGCATTTATTGCTGGCCAAGATCTAATTCAATGGAAATGCAAAGAGAAAATTGCACTGGAGTTAACTGGGTTCATCTTATTTGAAGGGTATATATTCTAAGATATTCCCTGAAGATTGAAGTTGCAGATATTATTGAACTCTAAATACAAATTTTCACATATACAGAACTATATATTCTCTCTATATTTGTATATAGTAATTGATAAATTAGGCCCAGTAAGAGATTAAAGACAAGAATAATAAGGTAGATCAGTTATATGTGGTAATAAAAGCTACTAAAAATATATGTTTTTATTTATTTATGGAATTTTCCATTTAATATTATGGGGTCAAAGTTGACTACAAGTTATAAAAACTGAAGGAAATAAATCCATGGGTGTGGTGGGACTAGTGTAATTGAAATAGTTGATAAATTTCTTAAAAGAATTAAAAGGTATACAGATCTTTGAAAATCATTTTACAAAAACTGACACCTAAACTGGATGAGCAAAGTTAGCTCATATTTATATGCAAACACACATAGTCTTCCAACCAAAAACACACTCAAAATGTATTGTGGAAAATTCATGTATTTCAGGGTTACTCTGAAAGTAAAAAGTTTGGCATAGACACAATCATTATTATGCATTGGCAGTTAAATTATAGAACAGGATAATAATAGGACAAGAATCCATACTCCTCACTACATTAAAACTTCAATCTGGTTTCAGATTGATACCTGAATGGCAGTAATTATTACTTTAATTCTCTCACACCAGTCTGATAGAAATTCACATATTAGCTAAAATATACATGGACCTATTTTTTTCTTGGCTCCATCTATCAAGATACTAGAAATTCTAAGATAATATTTGCATTGGTAAAATCATGTTAAATACTAGAAAAAAATCTAACAAGGCGACAGCTAATTTTTTTTCTCTCTCTTAGTTTTTTTTTGCTGTGATGGACACCTGAGAAACACAACTGAAAGGTGGAAAGATTTATTTTGGTTTATTGTTTCAGAGCTTTCAGTCCATAGTTGGCTGGCTCCATTGTTACAGGCCTATGGTAGGGCAGAGCATCATGGTGGAGAGGTCACAGTGGAACATAAAGACTAGAGAGCAGAAGGTGAGGAAAGAACCAGGGACAAGATATGGTCCACAAGGGAAAGCATCCAAGGACCCACTCTGTCCAACCAGGCTCTGATTCCTACAGTTTTCAACACCTCTCAATAATAATATATTTATCTATAAATATCACAGGAGATTAATCCATTGATGAAGTCAGAGCCCCCATGACCTTATCACTTCTCCAAATCACTACTCTTGAACGTTGCTGCATTGGAGGTAAGCCTTCAATCCATGAGTTCTTGGGGGATACTCTAGGTCTAAACCAGGGGAATCCTCAACACTGCTTTCTATGTTATATCATTGTTTTATTAATTGCTTTGATTTGTAAACATAATTTGCAACTATTTTTTCATTAATTTGAATAGAATGTTATCATTTTAATATTATAAAATTGGAGTTTTAAATTACATCAATTATTTGCACTGGTTTCTTAAAAATAAAAATTGATATTGATGTAGTAATAGCCATTTAAAATTCATTGATTAAATATACTTTGCTTTTCTCAATAGAAAAACAAACAAAAACAAAGAGCCTGAAGTTCCATCACTTTGCATTAAGGAGTTGAGGAGTGTGAATTAGGCAATATTCTAAATTCTTTGCAATTGCATCTCTGCACATCTTGTATTAGATTTGGATTTCATCTTCTCAGTAGAACCTGATACTTGTAAAGTGCAATTAGATGAAGCAAAGAAACCTTGTTTGTACAAATAGAAAGCTAATGAGATGGTACAATCAATGAGGATACATGATCATTTCAGAGCTACAACCAGAGTCCTTCACCCCTTAATCTAATTCCTAACAAAGAATTAGCTGCAGCCAAGTGAATATCCTGAAGGAAATTAGCTTTTCTCTTGTTTGTCTTTTCATGATCTGGATTAAATGCAAGAACCTCATTATCAGTGTTTATCCCTCTTCTAAAGTCGTCCACTTTGTTTTCTTTAAACATTTTACCAGGTGTTATTGCATTTAGTGTTCCCATTTGAATGTATAATTTTTAGAAAATTCCAAAATAAACATATTTTTGTGTGTTAAGAAAATAAGTTTTAGAAAAATGAGTATTTCATTGTCAACTATTCAATAGTAAATGTTTGTGCCTGAAAATTATTTGAGATGTATTTACATATTGTACCCCTTGCATAGTTTTTGAGAACGTTAAATAATTATTAGAAACCAGGTAGTTCCTTTCCTCAATTTACATGTTAAGGAATCAAGATATAGATTTAGGTGATGTTGCAGTGTAGTGAAACGACTCTGGCTAGAGCAATATTCCAATATTTATTCTTATAATGGTGTGCTGTCTCCTCTGGCTACTTGCACTAAACCATTTGCTGTTGTTAGTAAATTGCATCTATATGCACAAATAAGACATAAACATTTTAAATAAAATGATATCTAATAATAATAATAGTTCATGATTAATGAGAGTATGCCCTAATACTTTCTTTTTGTTTTTACACATGAGTTTCATTTTGTTTAGTTTGATCCTGAGTACAAATTATGGAAAAAATAAAAATAAATCAAACCTGAAAAGCATCAAGGAATTTGAGTTGTGGAAAGTTGTAGGTAATACAGGTGGAGGGTTTCCAGTGAGCACACAGCTCCTTAGACCAACACACTTCAGAACTTTCCAGATACCTCATTTCCCTGCTTTATGAAATTAGATGTTCTCTTTTAAATAGTTAAGCTTAGATGTTTAAGAGATGCTGAAAAGAAGGTCTTGTAGAGAACAGAATAGAATACTGTTTACTAGAGACTGGAAATGGCAGGGTGTGGAGGTAGAAAGAAATAAAATAAGTTGGAGACAAATTCACTCTGTTTTTATATGGCACTGTAGGGTAGTTATTGAGCAAAAACAAACTCTACTTTAAATTACTACAAGAGTAGATTCCAAAGCATAAGTAAAACTGATGAAGAGATGAGAGCACTTATTATCCTGATTTGATTATTATACATTGTGTACATGTATCAAATAACTCAATGCACCCCATAAATATGTATAAATATTACAACTCAATTTAAAAAAAAAAATTAAAAAGGAGAAATGCTAAACCAAGTCTTGCCATTGTCACCTAGAAAGAACCTGATTTGGACCTCAGAAAACCAGAATATTATGCAATGAAAGCAAAAGATACCAAGGATTCATTGAAGGAAAGGTAAGATCAGAGTAATGAAATGGAGTGCAGCTATTTGAAAAATGTCATGTGAAGAAAACATGTAGACAAAGGTAACAGGGAAATGTACTTTTGTAGTAATGGAAGACAAGACCAAGGAGACACATGAAATAAAAAGAGAGCAGATATGAGCATCTTCACAAGGAGCCCTGTCCAAAATATGATATAATTTGTCCTACCCTTTGTAAAAAAAAAAAAAAATTAACAGTGAGAAAGGGGGAAAATAACTAAAATCACTTGATCTACATTGTGTATCATTTGTATAACACTGGCACCAAGCCAGGATATAAATAGGTTACTTGAATGCTTCCAATTAGTATTAAGCCTTACAAAAGTTTTGATGAAATTTGTTGTCAGCTGTTTCATTCCCTAAAGATGTGATTCTGGCACAGTTTTCTGTGTCTTTTCATTGGGAAGTGTTTGCTAATATATTGCAAGTGGCTTGCTGGGCAGAGAAGGAAAAACAACCCTGATTGCTGCCAATATTTGTATAATTATAACAAGATAGTCACTCTTCCCCAACAGTGAGAACACACGTATTTTAAAACTGTTTAAAAGGTCAGGGAAAACAACAACTACAATAACTTGATTTTGCTCTAAATTTTAATAATTATGCATCCCTTCTATCAACAAATGACAGGAAATTCATAATTAACAATCCTAAAATTGTTTGTACATAAAGTTCAGATTTATATTCTGCGGACATGGAGAAATTCTAAATGTAGAAGAAAAATGTTCTATGTAAATTTATGCTTATTTCAAATGAACAATAACAAAAATTTGGAGATGATCTAAATAACACATTATAGCAAGTTTAAACTGAGAATTAGTTAAAACACAAAATAAGAAAAGTAACAGCATACTGATATTTCTCAGAGGGTCATGAAAACTTGAGATAATTTTCATTCAATCATTACATGTTAGCAACCAAAATGTCACATAAAATTTTCCCAATGACTAATATGTGTTAGTCTTTTCATTTCACAGCTGAGACAACTAGTTCTCACTGTCTTGAAGGAAAAGGATTTAGCCATGGGTTATGACAAAGAACTCTGACCTATAATCCCACCCATCATTATTTCTGGAGTTTACAATTTTATATTTATGCATATTGTTTTTCACAAATTTAAGCATCCTTTATGATGTCATAGGGTATTATGAATAATATAAATAATCTATAGTCTTTAAAGATAATTACTCTTCATAAATAAAACTACTTACCCTTAACATGAGTCCTGTACCTTATAGGACAGGCATCGTAATAATACTTGGCTTCATTTTAATAAACTTGACTGGTTTAAAATATTCAATAACATGATAACCTATTACCTATTTTAATGTAATAAAAATCTACAGCCTTCTTTCAACTCTAGTGTATATTTCTGTTGAAGTCTAAGTCTCATCTGATTTCTAGATCATGTAATATAAGCTTACGATATAAGAAATATTACTTTAGTTAACTCAGTGAATGTTATAATATCAAAACATTAAACAAATTACAGAGCTGGAGACATAACTCAGAGGTAGAGTACTTACCTAGTGTGTGTTTTCTACCCTAAATACTGCAAACAAAGAAATTACAATCAGGTATGTCTAAATTCTTTGTTAGGGAAAAGATGGGGGAAGTGAGGAAAGAGGGAAAAAGAGAGAAAGAGAGGGAGACAGAGGGAGAGAGAGACTAAATAGCATACATAATATAGTGTGCCTGGTACACAAGATATTATTAAGAGAGAATTGTTATTTTTATTAGTGTTAATTATGTTTTATCTATGGAAAAACAATGCTTTTCCTAAGGTTAGTAGTATCACCTGACTGGTGTTGACTATGCCCTTCCAAGAATTCTCTTTTAACAACTGAGTAAGGTAGTTACCCTCATTCTACATCAGTGAATGCCAAGTCACAAGCTAAGCAACTTATGCAAGGTTGTATAAGCAGGTTTCAAATCCAGGAAGTTCTGCTAGGAATTCAGTAACAATATCTTAGGTTTCAAAAAAGTGGATTTACTTTCAATGGGGCTTATGTTTATATGATATAGTTAAAACTCAAAGAGAATTTTTATAACTAAGTCATTTAATGAAACCATGACAAATGATACAGAATTGCTTAAAATAGACAATGACTTACTTCCCATCACCCTTATTCACCCATCCAGGGCTCCTGGCCCCCAAAGGGCATGATGCTCTGTATTTTCTCATTATGTTGACTGTATGCATTTGTTTTCCTCAAGCTTCCCATAGGACATGAACAATTTCTCCAGGTGAAAATTTTACTGACCTAACTCTGTGGTAAGTAAATGAGGACAAACAGTTGGAGCAACAAAGCTGGAAAGGAGGGGCACATAAGGGATCCAGCAAGTTAGATAACATGCCAATAAGAGAAGGAAAGCCAGAGAAGGAATGTTGCATAAAGGAATGTCTAATGAGGTAGCTATACAGTTGTTCCTGTGTGTCCTACACATGGTCTTCGATTTCCATCCACAAAATTGTAAAATAAAAGAGAAATCCACATTGGTTAACCCCCCCCCTTTTTTTTCTATGGAAGGCTTTATAAATGATACCTATGGAAAGTGAGAGGCAGCCTTCTCCTTAATAGAGACAGAAATCAAGGACACACTGGGCCATGCTAGCACCTGGGTTATATTTGAACTCAGAGAATCTGTATCTGGATTTATTCTAATTTTTCCTAAAAGTAATAAAGAACATTATTACAAACTCATATTACATTACCTAAAAAAAAATAGCTTAATATATATCATATATTTTAGAGATGAGAAAACGGTTCTGAGTAAATAAAAACAAAATATTTGTTTAAAACTGAAAGTCAATTTGATTTCTGAACTGTGTGAATAATTTACTCAATATATGGGTTATATTTTAAAAAGCTATGTGCCCTAACATATGTGTGGCTAGTATTTATATTACAATAAAGTGCATAAGTGAAAGTTTGTAATTTTCATATAAAATAATGTGATAGATTAGAAGTTTTAACTTATTACATATTGCTAATTTATATGTGGTCTAGTTAAAATACAGAATTAAATATGATAATAACAAAAATTAACACATTACAGAAATTTCATATACTCACTAGATCTTAGATTAAGACAATCTGAAGTATTTGTAATACAATATAAAGCTGGATACCATTGTATTTTTATTTTGTTATATCTTTAGTTTGGTGTGGTCTGTTTACACAGGTGATGATCTCTGAAAGTAAATGTTCCTCCTTTTTTGGGGAGGGGTGGGGTTGGGAGTACTAGGGACTGAACTCAGAGGTACTCAACCACTGAGGCACATCCCTAGCCCTATTTTGTATTTTATTTAGAAACAAGTTCTCACTGAGTCCCTTAGTGCCTCACTTTTGCTGAGGCTGGCTTTGAACTTATGATTCTCCTGCCTCAGCCACCCAAGCCTCTGGGATTACAGATGTGCGCCACCTTGCCCAGCCTTCCTTTGCTTTGGATTCTAGCTACATCCTGACTTTTCAGCATTCTCACAGGATGCATTATCAATTATTTCTCAGATTTTTTTTTTTACTGCTTCTTCTTTCAGGATCATTCTTACCACTATTTCTAAGTTTGAAATCTCCCTTGCATTATTGGTAAACAAACAAACAAACAAACAACAAACAAACCTCCTTATCACCTTGACATATATCCTTTTCTTAGATTCCTTTCTCATTTCTCTCCTTGTTTCCCTCAATAAAAACATTACTTAGGAAATGTCACTGCTAAATCTCATGATGTTATCAGTGGGACTTACTCCATATCTTACTTTAAAATGGCTTTTCCACACTAAGGCAACCCATGCTTCATTTTTCTAAGTATTATAAACACATTTCATCCTTATTCATCCCTGCCTCTTCTGATAGGTGATGGATAATCATCTGAAACTTTTTGTAATTTTTTTTTCTCTTGGACCAGCTCTTCTGTTTTTTCCTATGGTTCCTCAGAAAGCCCCATTTTAAGTCCTCACGCTGCTTCCAAATAATTTAATGCTGAGGCTTCTCACAGCTGAATCTTTAAGCTGTTTTCTTTTGTCATATATATCCCGCTTAGGTGATGTCATCTTCTCAACTGACTCCATTTTAAACCTCTGTCTCAGATGTCTTCTGACTCATGTATCTAATTTCACATTCCACATCCCTACTTGGGTGTCCTAAAGGTACCTTAAAGTCAACATCTCAAGAAACAATCCTGCTCCAAATAATAAGTCAACACCAATGCAGCTGTACAGGTCTCAAACTGAACTAATTTTGAGCACCTCCTTCACAGTGGACATCAAAGAATAACTATTGCCACAGTCTGATGACTTCATGTTCTTTATAACATTATGAGCCTTCTAGATCTCTTAGTACTCTCATCCTAGATTTACCACAACCATTTCTTAACAAGGCTACTGCAATTGTCTTCTCTTTGATTCTCCTTCATTGATTCTTATCTGCCTTCAATATTTCAGCAAATAACAACCAAGGATGAATGACATTTGTGTTACAACCAAATTCTGGCCATAAAAAAATCTAAAATCCTTCAATGGTGAATAAATAATATTTGTGTTATGTATGTAAGGGTAGGAGAATTAAATAAATGATTCAGTAAAGTTTAGGAAAAAAAATCAGTGGGTTCCTCAAGCTCTTTCAGACTACAGAATGATTAATATGGCATATACAATCTTGCATACTCTCTTCTTACTTCTGACTCCAGTAACCTGTGACTTCCTGTACCAATTTGCACTTCAGTCTGTGCAGGATACTTGAATGCTTCTACACAGAATGTTTATATTGAAAAATAAAACTTGGGGCTGGGGATGTGGCTCAAGCAGTAACGCCCTCGCCTGGCATGCATGCTGCAATGGGTTCCATCCTCAGCACCACATACCACATACCAATAAAATGTTGTCTGCGGAAAACTAGAAAATAAATATTTAAAAAAATTCTGTCTTAAAGAAGAAGAAGAGGAAGAAGAAGAGGAGGAGGAGGAGGAAGAGGAGGAAGAGGAGGAAGAGGAGGAGGAGTAGGAAGAGGAGA